AGGCTCAAGGGAGCTAATGACTGTGGTTAATGACACTGTATCATATATCTGAGCTCCTAAGAGTAGGCCTTAAACGTTCACAACAAAGAAACGGTAATTACGCAATGTGATCGAGGTTTTAGCCAACACCGTGGTGGTAACTGCTCTGCAATATGTAAGTTAAATCAACACACTGCACACCTGAAAGTTACACAATGTCACATGTCGATTACATCTCAGTAAAGCTGGGAACAATGTACTGTAAGCACTCTGGTAAGGTGACTGTCCTAAAACATTACTGTGTTTGGCCACAAGATGTCAGTAAGAAATCATTTTCCCAGTAGTCAAAGCTTATGAAGATAATTTCTTTCTGAATTTACGATGATTAAACAGCTATAAATCTGCCGCCATTTTCCAGGAATGATAGCAAATTAATTTCACTAAAAGCTTCTCTTTCCTGCTCTTAGTTAAGGCAGGCAGCTGTATATGAACTTTCTCAAGCAATGTGAACAATGCTAACCAACACAAATAAAGACTGAAAAATAAGAGCAAACGTTAACACCTCTGCCCAGATCCCAGTATCACACTCAGAAGAAGCCACTGTTAGCAGTTTCGTGTTTTCTTTCCATAGACCTTTCCTCATGCATCTATGTATGCGTACAGATTTGCAAACAAATAGAGAAAGGATTTTTTAAGCAAATGCAAAGGACACCATGCTATGTACACTGTTTGCTGTCTGCTGCTTTACTCAGCAATGTCTTGGAGAGCTTTCTGCATCAGTGAAATACGTCTGCCTCCTTCCTAGAAACAGCTATACTATATTACAAGACATTTTAATTGTGTCCCTACAAGATGAATTGCTTCCAGCTATTCGCCACCATGAACAGTCCTCATCCACCCTGCTTGTCCTTTAGATCTGTTCAGATAACGCCAAACTGCCCTCTAAAAGACCACACCGGTTTACACTTCCACCAAGAGGGCAGAGAGAGCTCGCTCCCAACATCGCCACGAACACCTGTTGTTAGTTAACAAAGCGACAGCAAGGTGCCCAACGTCATGCACTGAGCAACCTCTTGGAGGCTTGGAGTCTTAAAATACTCCACTGAAATCAAAGCTGTGGTTCTTATAATTCAGCAAAGAATATAGAAAGTGACCAAAGTCTTCTCTGCAGACAGTTATCTATTTTAAAAATGCCTGAATGAAGAAAACGTCTTTGTATCTGGATCACGCCCGGACTATGCTGATCTAAACATCAAGGCTACGTAGTATTTACTGGAAGTCCAAGATATACAACTTAAACAAACGTAACTGATTTTACAACTCAATATATTTAACGAGATGATTTTTTCCTTTGAGATCACAATAGTAGCATTTAAATTTTTTAACAAGCAAGTGCCTGAAAAGCCATTAACCAGGTATACATGGAAGTATTTCCTAACTTCCATTTCGATACAAATGTCAGAATGGAGACAGTCAGAATTAATCAAGGTTTGTCTTCTGATGTGTCAGACAGTGGGGAGGGGGCACTGCTTCGGACAACAGGAGAGGTGGCTTGTTTGGAAACGCCTTCACTGCTGGCTCTGTCTTTACGTCGTGGTGAAGAAGAACCGGGCGAGGGAAACAGAGGCACCGGAGAACAGGAGTTGAGACCCACAAGGTGCCAGCATCACCCTGAGGGCCCCTGGCAGGCCTCCCGAGGCCGGCACCGCCACCCACCCCCGACCAGGTTCACCAGCATGTCGCCCTCACATGCATGAGTGTGGTGCCCTGAAGCCGGGGCGCAAGCAGGGTTGATGACATGGCTCTGTACTGAAAAAGAAACCTGCAGCTAACAGTGTATTTAAAAAAATCCCAAAACATAAAATCAGCAGAAAACTCAAACAAAAACTATTTTTTCAAAAGCTGCTTTGACTGAAATCATAGCTTGTTTGCGAGCTTCATGCGGCTGGACTGCTCATGTACCTAGATGCGCAGGGCAAAGGGCAAAGGGCGATTTACCTCACCTTTATGGAGGAAGCCGCATACAGCATATCTTCCAGGGTGAAATGGCAACACTGGTTTAGGTATTCTTGGCAAAACTCTTGAATCAGCTGCAGGTTGTACAGGCTATCAGCCAAAGACATGGTTTCTTTCAGACAAATGTCTGCAAATAGGAAAAGAGCGAGGGTTGATTTTGATAATACGCATTTTGTATCCATTTTGTAATTAGTAACTTAATACAAATATACAACTGCAAAGAATCTGTTTAACACACTCACGTATAAATACAGTGGTCATTCCACAGACAGACCTAGAAACCAAGCACCATTTTACTCAGCTGTCCTCCTCAGAGTCACACACACGTGTCCTTTTCAGAGAAGCCTCATTACCTGTACGTGTAGTCTCAAGTGTTTGTTCCCGCCCATGGCTTGGAATTTCAGCGGAAGACTCACCTTCCAATCTGACAACACCAGGACAGTAAAAATGGATCAGGGCCGCTAACGCACAGCCGTCGGTACCATCTTTCAACAAATTTTCTACCAGTGGAATGCAAGGCAGCTGCTTCAGCAATGTTTGCTCTTTCCTATAACGAGCCTGTGATAGAAAAAAGAGGAAAATGAACAAGCACCAAACAACATACAGGAAAAACCAGTATTGTAGACTCTACTGTATCGGTAATAAAATACAAGTCAAGAGAAGGGAGAACTACTCACCACCGTCCTTCTTCTCTGAACGGTACCAGAGCTCACGTGACCAAAGCTAAGCATGCAGCAACCACACCAGGGCTCTGGAGCTAAGCACTTAGGACAACGTTACACTGCTCATTTATGTAAATTCATTTAGCCTAAACACTTAAATATAAAAGCGTCACAAAACAGATTCTGAACACTCTGTATCCCAATGGCCAGTCCGCTCTTCAGTGGATGATAAAATCCGTGTAATTTGGACTGTGAGCTCTCGGGTGGGAGGGCAAGGCCGCTCCTCCGGCCCCAAGAACCAGCAGGGTCACCAAGGCGGGAGCAGGAGGAGAACACGACCGTCACTCTGAGAATCGGGAAAATACCACGAAGGCGGTTGCCATTTGAATATTAAGAAAATAAAAATTGAGTGTAAAAACTCTGGGAAGACCCTCCCAGTTGAGGCTCCATTAACCAGCAACAGAGCGAGTGTCAGGGCTTCCGCTCCCTCTCAGAGGAACAGAAGGAACCTTTGCTTTTACAGGCTGGCTGGCCTGACCGGACACAAACCTAAGACAGAGCTCTGAAAGTGAGACCTGCTATACACCTTCAGCTCTTCAGTCAGGGCACCTGGGTTCCGATCCCGGTTCTGCACCTCTTAGCTCTGCAATCTTGGACAACTCACTTAAACTCTCACTCCTCAGTTTCCCCATCTGTGAAGCAGGAGACGACAGCCCCTACTTCCCAGGACCACTGGAGGGGTGAAGAGGAGGCGGGACAGAAAGTGCTCTGCACAGCGGGGCACTCAGAGGGCAGCTGTCACCAGCTGTCCGCGCTCCAGAAGCCAGGAAAAACAATGCTAAAGACTCAATGAAGTGCACGCTGAAGAATTTTATCAGCTACATTTACGTTACAGTGGTTACTGATATTTAAATAGAGGGTTTAAAAAAAGGTAATCAAAACTAGCTTTTCTTCTAACTCCATCTAAACTGGTCATCTATTTCATAATTAAAATAAAATCATGAAATATAATACTTTTGTGAGAATAAAAATAGGAAAATAATTTACTGAGAGAGAAGATTTACTACTTGGTGGTAAAGTCAGAGTTCCTTTAAGTGCTGTCCCTCAGCAAGTGCACGCGGCAATGAAGGAGATGTTTATCCCTCCCTCCCTCTCACGGCTCCTCAAGAACAGATTCACGGAGCGTTTTTCTCTTGCAGACCCCAGAGGGGCTTGTTCTTATCGATCCGTGCAGACTAGACATCTGTGTTCAGTGGCATGTTCCAAACTCATGGAGTACCCAAATTCAGAAAAAATCATATATATGCACTACATAATTCTTTAATTGAGTACTGATTTTTACATAATCCCTAGAGCACGTCCTCATTTTGCTACAATCAGTTTAAAAATCAGCCATGAAAAAGGTGGAGAGAAGAGGGAGGGGAAGGGAGAGGGAAGAAAGGAATCAAGCAGGTGCCTCTCCCGGCCTTGAGCTACTTCCCTGTGTCCGGGAAGCACGCTTCCAGACCCTCACCCGCCTCTCCTCGTCCAGCTGGAAACAAAACAGTCTGCGCCTTGGAAATCCTCTAACCTGGCTGGGCTAGGTGCCAGATTCCCCAGATCTCCAGGACCAGCCTGTTTTCGGCCTACAGTCTGAGCTGGACCGAGCTTCGCGGGAAGGCTCACGGAACAAAGCACAGAGCCGTGTGACGTGTTCCAGCTGCTCTGCCAAGAGCGCTGCTCTGCGGGCACGGACACACCCCGGCCCCGGCAGCCTGCGGCCGCAGTGCCTGTGGTCAGGCCAGACAACCAGAGATCTGTTAAGTTGATGCCAAAACAAGTTCCTGAAGATTTTATCCTAGAAGACGTATCAGGGAAACTGACTTTAAATGGTGAAGTCACATGCAGTTCCCAGGAAGTTCATCTGCAGTCTGTGAAGGTCCCAGTCTCTTACACGTGCACATGCTGTGTGCTTCACAAACCTCCTGCGTGGAAGCATTCCCTGCTCCTTCTACAAACTGAGAAATCTGGAATTTGAAAGGGGCATAATTTCTATCTTTCAACATTATGGTGTCCTTTCTTTTCAACTGAAGTATGCTCAGTTTACAGTGTTGTGTCAGTTTCTGGCATACAGCATTTAAAAAAATATTTATTCATTAATTTAGCTGTGGGACGTAATTAGGTTCATTTATTTACCTCTTTTCAGTGGAGGGACTGGGGATTGAACCCAGGACCTCGTGCATGCTGAGCACACACTCTACCACTGAGCTGTACCCTGACCCCTTTTATGGTATACTTTCAAGTTGCATTTCTATTTCTGAGGGTGTAAAATACTTGTTAAGTGGTCCAACCCCCAGATTTAATCCTGAAAGATCAACTCTTCAAGCAAACCAGAACTGAATGTAGTTTAGGAACACAGAGTCTGCTGCTTTTTTTTATTACATAGAAAGTGTCCTCTACAGTTCTCGCCAGAAGGAAATGACTTTCAAAAAGATTATTTTAAAACGTACCCACACCTACAATTCATCCTCACTGTCACTAATGCCGTGAAAGACCGCGTGGGTCTCCGGCCACGCCTTCTTCCCCCCAGTCACTGATGGTCTGTGACGGCTGACAGACTAGCTTATACTTCGAATTATTTTTAACGCGTCTAATCCAAACTTGGGCCAGGTTTTTAAAATCTACCTTACGTTACGATCAAATACCTTAAAATCCAATCTCCACTTGTGCCCGACAATTGTACGAAATGACTATACCAGCAAGACACAGCACACCACTGTACAGTTACACTTCTGGACAGCAAACTGAAGTAACTGGGCAAACTTACTGGAACCAGTTTCCAAAACCACTTGGAAGGAGACTTCAGAGGAAGCAGCAGGAGAAAAGGGAGAGCAAAAGGCAAAGGGAAAATCCATCAGAATTATTGTTAATTAACCAGTTAGAGCAGAGCTTCTGATAGTGGAGCTCCAAGTTTACAGTTCTCATAACACTTAAAAAATGTTAAGACCTTAGAATTTAGTTTAAAATACAGAGGCTCCTAGCGATGAGGACCAGCACCTCCTCTTGTCCGTGTCTAGGGCACGCATGATGTGCTGCATGCTCAGAATTCCATCCCTCCGGTCTGGGATCACACACCATACTGAAGAATAAATCCGTACCACAGAGGGAGCAGAAAGATTCTACAGCGCGGTCTGCGATCGTTAAAGCGCTCAGACATCAGGAGACCAGGGCCGGGAAGGCAGCGTTCTTCCCAAAAGGGAGGGAAGGACGCTGCCCCAGTGAGTGCGCGAATGAAGCCAGCAGCGATGCTGAGCTGCACAAGACGAGCGTTTCTTTCAGCTATGTAAAGAACTTCCTTCATTAATGGGGGGAAAAGTTGGCAATTCTTACCAGTTGCTATTTTAATAGGGTCTCTAAAGCAAGCAGCTGCGAACACAGGGAGAATACAGATGTTATCAACTCTGCCATCTAGTGGTGACCCAAAGAACGTAATTCTACTTCTTTAAAAAGGTGAGTATGATAAACTCCCAATTTCAGATACTATGAATTCTTATTTTGTGATTGTTTATCTTCGTATTTCCAAGCACAATTTCCGGGCAGCCTTACATAAATATTCACTGGAGTAAACCAAACGAAATGGGGTCTGTGTTAAAATTCACATTCAACTTTTATGTAGAAGTTTTTTCCTACAAAAATCAATAATAAGGATAGGATTATTTGGGAAACTAATATAAATACGTCATTTTCAAGAACTTTGAGAATCAGAAAAACACCAGCTTCCCGCGTAGAGAGAAACCTCTCTTACTGCTCCGGGAAGAACGGCCCTGACAATTCTGCTGCGTGTGCTTTAATCCCGGTCTAACCAAGCGCTTTCGGCAGCAGCCGCAGTTGTAGCAGCCGCAAGACGTACCAGAGCAGGAGCCCCGAGCGCGTCCGGACTCCCAGGGCACAAGAGACGTGCCAGACTTGGAGATCCACCACACAGAAACTGACGGCCACAAGGCCCACCGTGGGTCATTCAAAACTGGATGTGCAAAGGAGTCTCCAATGGTTCAACTTACTCTGTGTTTCTTGTAAAATATTCAGTACTTGACCTTTTTGCTCATTCAGGCTACTCTGGCCTTCCTCCTGCCTCTCCACTGGCCTAAATGCGTGACAGCAATCCTATCAGAGGAAAAAGGAAAAGCATACAGACTGGCTATCTGAAGGAAATGTGACTTAAAAAGGTAAATGTACTAAAAGAATGAATAAATATTTATACCAGCCATGCTTCAGAAAGCTCAAATACCCAGCGCAAGTGCCATGCTGAAGGTAACTGTATTTCTCAGGTGACCAGCAACTGCCCCTCCTTTTGGTTTTCAGGGAGGATCTAAGCAAATTGCAACCTCGTGTCCTGGTTCAAGATGTAAGTAATTATGAGATAAAGAGGTTTTAAAAGTCCATGAACAACAGGTGGAGAAGCTTCCACCAAGTCCTCGCCAACGGCAGGGATGGACGCGGGCGGGCAGGTCAGGTTTTCTGGAATAGCTCTAATTTTAGGTGTTCCTCCTTTCCGCTGTCTTCATCACACATACTGGCTCATCCTAAACTTTGGTGAGTTTTAGGACTCGCTACTAATACTCCCCCAGTAGCTCTGTCTTCCTCTGGGCTCCCTACTGCCCCTCTGGGACTTGGGATAATGTCTGAACCCCTCCTAGGTGCTCTCAGGCCATACGGGGAAGATGCTGCTTTGATGTGGCCTTCGTCGGAGACCTCAAAAACATCGGCTTCTTTAAGGAGTTAATCACAGCTGTGACTGGTCACCTCATGACCGGTTAGTCTTAACAATCTTCTTCCTGTTGTAGGTCCAAAGGTTGTGACGAATGTCAGTAAGAGTGTAAAACGGTACAAAGCCCCGTGGAGGAGAATCTGGCACTAGCCACCGAACCCACACATGCATTTTCCCTTCGGTCCAGCAACCCCGTCTCCAGGGAATGTACCCTGAGAACCTGAGGACGCAGAAGGAGACACACGACATTATTCTTGCAGCATTATTTGTAATTGCGGGATGCCGCAAACTACTTAGACGCCCGTGGGAAAGTGGCTGAAGGATCTTTGGTCCACACATTCAAAAGAGCACGAGGCTGCTGCAAAAAGTGCAGGGAAGGCCCCCAGGGTCCTGCGTGGAGTGGCTGCTGTACTGTGACAGGGTCTCCTCATGCACACCTGGGCCGTGCAGGAAGACCATGCGAGGTTACCACGCACTTTCACAAACATTCTAACATGAGAAAAGGGATAAAAGTCACTTGAAAAAGAACATATAAACGCTACGTGTGTGCTAACACAAAAATGTGTGCTAATCCACGTATCTGAAAGTGAATCACATTCATTTATTTGTTTACTCGGCAAATGCTGGTTTAACTTAACATGTGAAATTCCTCGGGGCCAAGTGCTGAGAAAGTTGGTGCTGTCTGGATTCCACACAGTTCGTTTTTCTTAAAGGTCACTCGGTCTACAGTTTGGAATACAGATGGCATTTTTTCCACAGAAACAATGTCTATTGGGTCCTAAGTCAGCACATGAAACCCCTACTTAGTTCATAGTGTGTACACACTACGACAGAATTTAATCATTATGTATAATAAACAAGACTTCTCTGGAAATCCGGTAACGCAAGGAGATGCTTGACCTTATTCCTGATTAGATCCAGGAGCAAAACTGGGGGCAGGATTACACCTAAAGCAACCAGAGAAGGAACACACAAAACCCAAAGTTGGCAGAGGAAAGAAATCACAAAGATCAGAGCAGAAATAAGTGAAATAGAGACTTAAAAAAAAACAAACCCGACAGAAATCGATGAAACTAAGAGCCAGTTCTTTGAAAAGATAAACAAAACTGACAAACCTTTAGCCAGACTCACCAAGAAAATAAGGGAGAGGGCCAAATCAATAAAGTCAGCAATGATACAGAACAGAAACAGACTCACAGAGAGCACAAACTTGTATTCTCTGGGGGGGAGGGGGAGGGGAAAGGACACACTGGGACCCAGATTTATGGATACTGACAGGTGCATACAGAATAGATACACAAGTTTACACTGTACAGCACAGGGAAATATATTCAAGATCCTGTAGCAGCTCACGGTGAAAACGAATATGAAAACGAATATATGTATGTTCATGTATAACTGAAAAACTGTGCTGCACACCAGAAACTGACACAACCTTGTAAACTGACTATAACTCAATACAAAATAAACAAATAAAAACAAAAACAAACAAAAATAAATAAATAAAATCAGCAACAAAAAAGGAGAAGTTACAACCAACACCATAGAAACACAAGGGATCATAAGAATCTACTATGAACAACTATATGCCAATAAGATAGACAACCTAGAAGAAATGGGACAGTTTCTTAGGAAGGTACAATCTCCCAAGACTGAACCGGAAAGAAATAGAAACTATGAACAGATCAATCACCAGTCATGACACTGAATCAGTAATTTAAACACTCTCCAAAAACAAAAGTCCAGGACCAGACGGCTTCACAGGTGAATTCTACCGAACATTTAGAGACAAGTTAACACCTATCCTTCTGAAACTATTCTAAAAAACTGCCGAGGAAGGAACATTTCCAAACTCATTCTATGAGGCCACCATCACCCTGATACCCAAAACCAGACAGAGATACCACAAAAAAAGAGAATTACAGGCAATAGCACTTATGAATATAGATGAAAAAATCCTCAACAAAATACTAGCAAACTTACTCCAACAGTACGTGAAAAGGATCAGACACCACGATCAAGTGGGATTTGTCCCAGGGGTGCAAGATCTTTCAAAATCTGCAAATCAATCACGTGACACACCACAGTAACAAATTAAAGAACAAAAACCATACGATCATCTCAA